AGAAAAGGACGATGTGGTGGTCGAGAATTCGATGCACATTTATCGGACAAAGATTACCATGTGGTCCACACGTATGTTTTGTTGAATTGTGAAGAAGTTCTACCGTTCGAAAGGTGCGTATATACGTATTTATTTTTTAATTGAATGGTCAGTTAAACTTATATAATTTGTCTTGTGGTTTTTTGTAGGATTTTTGATGATCAGGTATTCAATACGTACGGTGATGTGAATGATGATCAATTAAGCCAGATTAAAGAGAACGGATTCGCAACCTGGTTAAAAGAATTTGTACGTAAATCGAATAAGTAAATTAAATAATATCGCATAGGGAATAACACTAATCACATGCCAAATTGTTGGTCAATTGTTTTTTACAGATTGAATCATCGCAAGAAGATCATCCATTGTGGTTACACGAGTTAGTTCAAGGTCCCATTCGGCTGGTCAAATGTTGGCCAATGTTCTCTACGAGAGGATATTTATTTCATACATATGAACATGGGCAACATCGTTCGACGGCAAATTATGGTATATGTGTGAAAGGCTCGAGTTACTGTGCTTCGGATGATGAACCAGATTTCCATGGCATTCTTCAGCAAATTTTCCAAGTACAATATCCGGGTCATATTGGACTCAAAGTGATGATTTTCAGATGTGACTGGTTTGATCCGACGCCGGGACGCGGAATACGGATCAACAAATCAGGGATCACTGATATTTGTTACTCCCGTCGATATAGAAAATACGACCCTTTTATACTGGCATCCCAAGCAGATCAGGTATGTTTTATCCCTTATCCAAGAGATAAAACGCGAAGAAGTGACATTGATTGGAAGGCCGTTATCAAGATTAATCCAAGAGGGACCATTACATATGACGGATCAGTGGAACAAAGCCCGCTACAGGAAGAACACACAGTTATAGCTGTCACGGAAACAATTGATGTGGAGAGTCTAGTAGTGGAACAAGGGATAGTTGAAAAACTAGAAATTGGAAACCTCGATGAAGAAGGCGATAGCAGTGAAGACACCAATCCCGAAACAACGGAAACATCATCGTATGATTCATTTGATTAATTATGCAATGTGTGTATTTTTATTTTAATTTTTTTTTTATTATTTTTCTATTTTGCGACGGATATTATCCGTCGATATCCGTCGGTATTTTTCCGTCTGAAATTTTCGCAAATTTTTTGAAAATTTTAAAATCCAGGTGCGACGGATATATTCCGTCGTTAAATAAGATACTCCGTCGCTAATGGCCACGTGTTCAAACATTAGCGACGGTTTCCGATGGTTAAGTTTCGTCGCAATGTGTAATACATATCGGGATTCCTCTTCTTTCTTCTCCGCCTCGACGCGAAAACAGATTCTCCTACGATTTCCGGTAATCGGTGCGATTTCCGGCCACCCACCGTCCAAGCCAACCTATCCGACGCCGTGCGAGGTAAGTCTTTCCTCTTTCCTTCTCTCCCTTGGTGATGATTCGCTGAAGCTTGGGTTTAGGGTTTCGATGAGATTTGTGCGAAAATTCTAAGATCCGAAAATTTTCGGATTTTCTAGATGATTTTCGGCGAATTATGGAGTGATTTCGCGATGTTTTGGATTGTTTCGATGGGATTTTGGATTCATTTGGGGTTTAGGATTTCAGATTTAGGGTTTTAGATTTAGGGTTTCGTTTGGGGTTTAGGGTTTCGTTTGGGATTTAGGGTTTCTGATTTAGGGTTTCGGTATTATGGTTTAAATTCGGTATTAGGGTTCCAATTACCAATTGATTGATTATGGTTTCATTTGGGGTTTAGGGTTTCGTTTGGGGTTTAGGGTTTTGTTTGCGGTTTAGGGTTTCTGATTTTAGGGTTTAGTGTTACGGTATTATGGTTTAAATTCGGTATTAGGGTTCTAATTACCAATTGATTGATTATGGTTTCATTTGGGGTTTAGGGTTTCGTTTGGGGTTTAGGGTTTTGTTTGGGGTTTAGGATTTCTGATTTTAGGGTTTAGGGTTACGGTATTATGGTTTAAATTCGGTATTAGGGTTCAAATTATCAATTTAGGGATTATGGTTTCATTTGGGGTTTAGGGTTTCGTTTGGGGTTTAGGGTTTTGTTTGGGGTTTAGGGTTTCTGATTTTAGGGTTTAGGGTTTACGGTTTAGGGTTTAGATTCGGTAATAGGGTTCCAATTATCAATTTAGGGATTATGGTTTCATTTGGGGTTTAGGGTTTCGTTTGGGGTTTAGGGTTTTGTTTGGGGTTTAGGGTTACATTTTTAGAGTTTCAGAATAGTGTTTCAATTCTCTTTTATACGATTTAAGGTTTAAAGGGTTTAGAATTTCTATATGTAGATGAGTCAGTCACGTTCCGGGAGTAGATCGGGTAGCGGAGTCCGATCTCGCGGACGAGGATCCGGTGTTTCTAGTCCTTCTACCCCTACTTCTCAGCAGCCTCCAATTTACCACACCTCGTTTGGATCAACCTTTCACGGGTCAATCCACACAGCAACCTTCACATGAAGGTTGTTCGCGTGATTCATCAGTATCACTCCGAGAAATCCTTGCATCCGAGGATCGTCGTACGACGAGACCGCACCTTAGCCCAGAGCTAACCAACGGTACTTTATGGTAAGGAACATTGTAACAATTCATTTCTAAATTTTATATTAACGTTTACAGTTATATAACTAAGTATATTTATATACTCGCATAGGTTCGGTCGTCAGTCCCAGATACGGAAGACAATTGTAAGCATCTTCCAGAGTGATTTTCAGGGTCCTTGGCTCAGTATCACTCGTGTCCCTCCAGCGACTCTGGAGCGTTGGTTTTGTGCATTTGCGGTAAGTTTTCAAATTCAAACTATTCTTTTAATTTCATTTATTGTTTTATTAACATCAATTTTTTTTTATTGCAGCAAGCTTTTTATTGGGAGGAGCGCCACCACGACATGGTTTATACCGGTTGGAAGGAAGTACTGGCTAACCGACTCCGGGATGCGATCTATCGGTCGGGTCAAAGTCGAAACAAGCCATTGTGGATGAGCGATGGGGTTTGGAGCCTTCTCCTGGCTCACTGGGACTCAGATGATGCAGCAGAGAAGAGTCGGGTCGCCTCAGCCAACCGACGGTCTCGATCTGTGGGGGA